GCATTTGTCCCATGTGATTTCTCTTTTTAAGAATATACACACATTATATGTATATACATATGTGAGCATTTGTGTATATATTACACACATATATATGCATATATATAACATATACATATATGTAGTCTAACATTTATAAAGGTACTGTGTGTTCCTAGTTTAGAGTGTAACCTTTTCTTTCCCTCTTCCCAGAAATCAGTATCTATTCAGTGCATTGTTTATGCAGAACATATGGAAGTGGTTGAGGATCTGCGTTTTGGTGTTGCGTCCACATTGGCTTAGATCCACGTCTTCTCTAGCTCCCCGTCTGCCCTGCCGTCTCAACCTTGGCGTCTAGCCCCATTGCTCACAGCTGCTCCATTTTGTCCTCGGATGTGAAGGACTTGCTCTTCACCATGAGCTGGACAGTGGCTTGTTTTTGTTTCCTTGCTGATAGCTAGGAGGTGATGCTGAGAAAATGTGCCCGCTGAGCCTGGCCTTTGACAGAAAGCTGTTTAAATAAAATCAGATGACATAGCAGTGGTTCTTCTTACTCCGCGCAGAGTGCACTACTGACCTTATTGGGTGCTGTTTTTCTTCTGCAATGAAAGTTAGAGGGCGTGTAAATACAATTTAGGGGGAAACATTTTAACTTAATATCTGAGCCTCAAACTTGAGAAATTAGAGGGTGTAGGGTGTGTGCTGACACTTGCTTTTGTAGTTTAGCCAATAACCAACCCAAACATCTAAAGATAATTCCTGTTCTAAGCCATGGTGGCCCAACTGATCTTTTTTGCCAGTAAAATAAAAATATGAAAATAAGGTTGGGTGGAAAATTATAATCCATGTTCCACTCACTCCCTTTTACTCTACCCTTTGTTAACCTCCTGCCTCATAGGTTACATTTGTCATTTTGTTTTCTCTAATTTGCTATTTATTTCCACTGAGGGACAGAGTACAAGCCAACACCCAGCAGTTCAGAATGAAAGCTCTTTTCTCTAATTTCAGCTGCCACTGGAATGTTGTTCTCACTAAGCTTCTTACTGGCTGACTTTCTTAAGTCATTTATTCAGTAATGTGAGTTATAGGCCTAATGAGTCAGTCTACAAATACATATTGGTATGGTTCACAATTGATGGTTTAGAGGAATTATTATGGAAAGAAGTATAGCTATTTTTTTGCAATAGGTCTGATATAATGATTTCATTTCTTGTGTATATACTCAACTATATTGTATCATCCAGCTATGTTACTGCATGGGGAAAAAAAAGCAAAACTCATTAGCTTTAACAACAATCATTTATTATTATAGCTTGCATGTCTGAGCTTTGGCTGGATGCTGGCTGATTTAGGGGGAGGGGGAGGGGGAAGGGGCAGGGAGCAGCTGAGTGATAGGGCTGCTTTTAGCTAAATGCGCTCACATGTCTAAAGCCACCTGAGAGTTGGCCGATTTTCGCCAGGCTCTCTGTTTCATGTGTCTGTCATCCTGCGATTAATGGATTGTTCTGACACACCCTTCTCACATAACGGCAGAAGTACAAGTGTGTAACTCCAGTGGTGCAAATGCATGTTCAGACTCTACTTGTGTTAGAAAGCTAACATCCCATTGGACAAAGCAAGTCACGTGGCCGGCCCTGGGCTGGGGATTCGTCCACAGTAGGCGGGCACTACAGAATACCGGGCAGAGGGCATGGGTGGCCGGAGGCGTATCGAACTGGGGCCAGTGATACAATTTGTTGCATGCATATTGGGGTGCTCATTGACTCCTGTTGATCTGAAGGGTGCTGAACGGGCCCTTTGAGCTTCTGGGACTTCTATCTAATGTTACACTTACCATCCTAAAGCAAAAGTAGAGCAAGAAGAAGCAGGCCATGCCCCTGGTGAACGTCCAGGTGCGATGTACTCCCAGTACAGGCACTTTATAGGCTAGACAAGAGCTCGTCTCTAAAATATATAAAAACTCAATACTCAATAGGAAACAAACCCAATTAGAAAATGGGCAAAAGAGAGGAACAGACATTTCACTGAAGAAGATATACACGCGGCAAATAAATACATGGAAAGGTGTTTAATAACATTCGCCCCTAGAGAAACACAAACTAAAGCCACGATGAGATAACACTACAAAAAACTATAAAAGTATTAAAAAACCCCCAAAAGTGTAAAAGCATAAAATTTTTAAAAACTCACATGTGTTTTGAATTATTCTCTGGAGATACACTTTTGGCATATTTCCTTTTAGTCTTTTTTTTCCCCCTATCACTTTCTTCATTACTAGTATACAACATAATATCCAGGTTTTTTCCTTCATATATTATTATAACTCTTTGCCTTGTTATTAAAAAGGCTTAATGCGTGTCATGTTACTGGGTATATAAATGTTTCATTGTACGGGTGCACCGTAGTTTGTTAACCGTGGTCTTGCTTTGTCATGCTGCGGTTTTCTTTCAGTGTTTTCTGCTGATAAGTAATACTGCCACGAGCATATTTGTGCATAAATCTTTACCTACATGTAGCATCGTTCCTTAATGGAAAGGCAGTGCGTTGGGAGTACGGAGATCCGGGTCCTGCCACTAACTTTCATTGTGCTAGCATGTATGTGTCCTTACCTGTAAAATGATGTATTTGAGCTTGATGGCTTTAAACGTCAATGTCAAAAAGTATCTTTCAAGATGGAGGGCTAATACATTGCCGTTTTGGAGTGGAAGCAGGAAGGTAGTTCCGGCTGTTGGTCCTCAGAGAAGCTCCTGGGTGGAGCGGCCGCGTCCCCCGGCGTGGCACTCAGCTGGCTTTGGGAGAGGAAGTTTGTTTCAGGGTTCGGGTATTGTCACTTCTCTGTCTGTCTCCATCTCTGGTAGGGCAATGCCTTCATATACAGAAATGTTCTTTTAAAAGAGGGGAATGGGACACTGGACATGAAGAACAGAACCTATCTTGACCTATTTTATGAATGTGTGCACTTTGAGAAGTGCTCGGCCGGGCTGGAAGAACCAATTTCGTTACCCATCTGCCTTGTGTCATAACTTTGGATTTACTTTGTGTGTTTATTTCTGCCTTGTCTTTTGTTTGCCTTGTGACTCAAGTTTCATCACAGTTATAACTTCACGGCCAGGGGACCTGGCCTTGTCTCAATTTCCTGGCAATTGCGTGTGGCCTTTTTCTCAGGGATGTCTCCCGACTGTTCATTTTAATACAGACTGAGGATGCATATTTCATTGTACTCATGCTCCTTCAGCTTCTACCAGGGATAAACACTGCCCAGCTTGGACAGCAGAGGCACCCGCTTGTCGCTGCGGAGTGGAGGAAGTGTGACCTCTGCCCCCCCGACCCCGTCTCTTTAGCCCTTGCCCACATCTGTCTGCAATGTTCCTTTCTTGCAGGTGACAAAGCTCCTTTTGGAAATGGCGTTAGACTCTTCCCGAGCTCCTCATCCAGCTGCTCTCGGGGCTGAGCCGGCGCCCAGGGGGCCAGCAGAGCTCTGTGTCAAGTGCAGTGTGGCCTCCCTCCTCTGGCTGCCACCAAAAGGCCCTTTGTCTCCTTCCCCTCCCCCTCGGCCAGGATGTGGTGCTCGCCCCAGAGGGATGGAAAGTCCCCCATCAGGCCGCCACACTCAGCAGCGTTAGAGGACTGGCCCTAAAAGCCAAACATCTCCTTGCCCGTCTTCATTTTACGTCAGGAAATACGGGGCTGGGATAATGAAGCCGGTTATAAATTGGATTTAGGGGGCAGATCCTTTTCCTTTGTGAGTGTGAATCTGACTCTTTCCTGTGTTGCAAGGAAGTTGCTTATGAAATACCATTTAATATTTGCAAACTTTAGTTTTTAGCCTCTGTGCCCTCTCCTCCCCACCCCTGGCAGCAGTGGGTGACTTTCATGAGACAACTGGAGTCCAGTTCTCCAGTGTAAATCATTTCATAATGTGAACGACTTTGCCCGCCCACCCTCACCCCCATCCTGAACAGTAAGAGCATGTGGTGTGAGTGTTTAAATGCCTTCTCATTTTTGTACAACTGGGATTAGGCAAGGAAAGCTGATTTGGGAGACTCTCAGACTTGTCTTTTTCTTGTTCTGCACCCGTTTGCAATCTTGTCTCTTCCTTTTCTGCTCTCCTCCCTCCTCTTCCAGGGCTCTGTGGAGGCGCTAGATCTGAAACACACGGAACTGCATGGGGGCCTGGGCGCATGTGCGTTAAGTGAGAGCAGTGCTTTTGTCTGTCCTGTCGTGTTACTTTGTTGCTAACCCCAGGCCTTGCAATGATCACAAATGGCGGTGGACAACCAAGGCCCAGACGCAAGCTGAAGTCCTGTTCTCTGGGTGCGCATGTAGTCCACTTCACCCAGGGGCCGGCGGTTACACACTCTGGTTTCCCAGAGGGCTGGGTAAAGTCTGGAAGTCTAGGGCTGGTTTAAAGCATAAATGGGGCTGTAGGGAAACAAAGGAAGACAAAAGACAGAGAGTGGGAAGGAAAAAAAAAAAAGCAGAAAACAAATAAGTGTCCTTTGGGAGAAGGGTAGAGATACCTCCTGCCCAACTGTCTGCAGTCCTCTCTCCTGAGACCCTGGTTGCCAGCCATTGGCTTCTTTCTTTCGTATTTTTAAATGTGCTTATTTATTTATTTTAAAACAGATAATACATGAGCTTGGTTGGGAAACCAAAAAGTATAAAACATGACATACTGCAATTCTCTCTCCTATCCTGTTTCCCGTTCCACCCAGTTTCCTTCTTGGGGGAAGGAGCCAGGAAGCCAAGTTTCTTTATTACAGATCCTCGCGGAGTTTCTTTAGGTACATCCGTACTTACACCCAAGCAAATGCAAGTCTGATTCTTACTCTGCCATCCGTTCCTTTATCCGTTTATCTCCTCTCTTACATCCTCATTTTATTTCCTTTTATTTTACTCTCAACAGCTTTTCTTTGGAGCCTTTTTTTTTTTTTTTTTGAGGGGGAAGGTCAGCGGCCCTTTGTCTTGCCTGTGTCTGCCACCCTGAGCCGTTCACACGTGTGCTCGCCTTCTCCCCACAGATGAGGCGGAAAGCGAGAAGTGGTACCTGTCCGCAGACTTCCCTTCGGCCACCATCAAGACTGAGCCGATCACGGAGGAGTCAGCCCCCGGCCTCGTTCCCTCCGTCACCCTGACCATCACGGCCATCTCCACGCCTTTTGAAAAGGAGGAAACACCTCTGGAAATGAACACCGGGGTACATGCAACTGTCTTCCACATAAACCTATTAGATCCAAAGACATAGATTCTCCTTCTCTAGTAAGGCATTTAATCTGTTTGGAGCTAGTGGTATATATTTAAGGAGATGTCACTTTGTATGTATACATGTATTAAGGGTTAGATCTCAGCACTGAGTATCTGTAATTTCCCTTAAGGGAATTATCCAGAAAAACTGGTAGCAACTATGATTTCATTTTTTTCTATGACTACTATTGCAAAATAATTTTCAAAACATATGGACATTCAGAGTAAAAAAAAATTTCCCCCGGGGGAGTTTCCGCGGGATTGATATTTAAGTCAGCCGAGAGGGCTAGGCTGGTGGTGCAGTCGGTGGCCCGCGGAGCCGCGGCTACCGGAACGCTGGTTTCTGTGCCATGTTTTACCTTCCTGACGCAAAGCTGAGTGGCAGTGGCCCAGTGCCGGGACCTCCCACCTACCAATTCTTACCGTGCTGCCCATGGAAAGCATAAGAAATTGGGGATTTTTTTCCTGGCTCAGTGCCACGCCAACAATGAGTAGAATGTCGCCTGCTCCCTGGGCATCACCAGTGTCTGCGATGGACCAGAATCATGCCCGTGCATCTTCTCATACATGTTGGAGCCGGTCCTCACTTCCCCGAACTTAGAGTCTCAGGTGATAAACAACGACCCCACCGATGTTCTTTAGGTCAGACCTCCTCTGAGCAAGGGGCGGGCTATCTGTTCAGGATAAGGTAGCACAGAGCCGTGGAGCCACCCTTGCTTGGCTGCACGCTTATTCTCAGTGCTCTTTCCATGCATTTGTGAGGAGATGAAGGATTGGGCAGAGCATTTCTGCAACTGCCCTGAGGCGCTCCTTACCTCATAGCTACCTGAGTCTCTTCACTGGACCTGCTTCTGGCCACACAGATTTTAGTTCAGTTGATTTTAAGTATGTGACTAGGAAGGTCAGGGTTATGGCCTTGCTCCCTGCGCACGGACCAGATACCTGTTCTTTCCCTGCCAAGCATGTCACGGGGAGATGTCGTCGGCCATCAGGAAGCCCGGAGAGAAGGAAGGAGCTGTGGTCCACCCAGGGCTGACTCATCACAACATGGTGCAGGCCTGTGGCTCGTTAAACATTTCTCAGACTACTTCGTGACAAAATGCATTTCTATTACCATAAAAACAGTAGAACGCGGACTAGTAAGGGAGCCCTGGGCTTCTACTTTGAGGATCCTGAGGGCTCCATCAGCTGTAATGCTGGTTTGGGCAGCTAGAGGAAGGTTAAGGCTAAACCACCCCCTTGTCAAAGCCGCCTGTGCTCAGCCGGGCCTCACCCAGCTCCGGAGAAGCAGGGCTGCACCCTCCCCCCGCCCCCCTCAAGAGGCAGGCGCAGGTGACAGGTAGCTCCCCTGGGAGTTTCTTTGGGGCTTACTGGTTTTTAAAAACTGTGTTTGAAATTCTTCCCTTAGGTCGATTCCTCATGCCAGACAATCATCCCTAAGATTAAGCTGGAGCCTCATGAAGTGGATCAATTCCTCAACTTCTCCCCTAAAGAAGGTCCGTCTCCTCGCCCGTTTCCCTTCGGGTCACCAGGGGGCGGTGCAGTTGTGAAGAGAAAGGGTGTGTGGAAGAAACTAGGGGGTCCATTGGTCTCCAACACTCAGCTTGCTGCATGAAATAGCTCAGTTCTTAAAAACCTTGATTCTAAATCCAGATTTTGAAAGCCAAACATTATTTTCCCATGTAGGTACAGGATTAATTTCCAGTGAAATCTTTTAGGTTACTTTTCCTCCTAGCCAGGGCGATCTTTCAAAACCTCTCTAGACGGCTACGACTTGCATGGAGGATACGCCAGCTCCCTGCACGGGAGCGGCGCCCTGTAGAGGCGCCCTGAGCAGACACCCATTTCACCAGCTCTCGCTTAAACCCTTTGTGTAGTGAACTTCCAATATATCTGTCTGACCAATTCAGTGTCTTTCGCAGTTGATTTTGGATGACAGCAGTGGCAAGGAGCCTGCTTACTGTTCATAACGTTCCTGCGCCCCATGGGCTTCCTGTCACCTAGTTAGAACCCAAAGTCATACGTGACGTTGTCATCGTGTCCCTTTCTCCTGTCCATATGTCAGTTTCTTTCTGACGGCGCCCTGTTGTTCTCACGGGAAGCCCACAGTTGGGAATCCGGGCCCCTCAGTCGCACAGAGTCTAGTGAAGGTCTCCCTGCCTTGTTTATTCAGATCCTCCCACATAAGCCTTCAGCCACGCTGTGACCTTCTGCTGTATTTATACAAGGATAGTTCATTAGTGCGGTCAACAAAGAAGAAATTTGTGTATGCATTTGCCATAGAAGAGGTGTGCGTGCTTCGGTACATACTTAATTGCCATGGTATGTACTTAATTGTACGTGAGCAGTTCTCATGGACACAGAGTCTACCTCCATTCCACTAGAAACTAATTTAGGATTTGATTGAGACCATTTAATCAGGGTTGGCATTTGCCTTTATTATCAAGAAAGAAGAGAAAGAACTGAATTTTAAAAATGAATAATATTGACTAGACTCCATATTGAGACAGTATTTCTTTGTACTGAGTGATTCACGTTTTTGCCTTTCGGCTTTAGACAGTGCTGCGGTATATTTTACGTTTTTATGACACTTGTTATTGCTATCAAATACTTGCTGCTCTTTTAATTTATGTGGCAACATGCTTCAGAAAGTGTCGTAACTGCACTAGCGAATCCCACAGTGGCTTCGGCATTGGGGGTCACGGGAGGAGAGGTGTCTCCAGAGTAAATAGCAGTCTTTCCTCATTGTCCTAGACAAACAGAGATCAGGAAATTCAATATCCTTGAGGGCCTCAGAGCTTCTAGGCGGAGCAGCTTGTTGTCCCAGCCCTTTTAGTAACCTAAGAGCAGCATTTCAAATGATATTTAGAAATCTGAGACTGAGGCCCTTTTGCCAAGTCGGTAACACTTAATAGGTAGTCAAGCTGGCTTCACTTTTCCTGTCATTTCTGGGGGTGGTTTGGGGCGGGGGAGTGGGGGCAGAGCACCCTCTGCTTAGAAAGGAGAAAAGTATTAGAATAATTCGGGCTGTGCCAAGTGAAAGGGACAATGCAGCTCTAGGAACCCTTGGCTAGTTCTCAGAATGTCACGGCCCCACATGGGAGATGGCAGGAGTCCCTAACAGGCTAGTCTTTTCCTGATTTTTGTTTGTCTGTTTACCATTGTTGAAAGATAAACGGAGGCATATTATAAAATTTGAGTTTGTGCGAAAGTCGATCGGAACTGGGCAGCACCAAAGCGGAAGTGGTTAGAAGCGCTCCACCAACCAGAGCTCCGGGGGGAGGCTTAGAGGGAAGAGGCAGGAGCAAAATAAGGAAATTATTGTTGGCTGTGGCATAAAGCCTGGTTGGCTGCTTGTGATTGGTGTCCCTAGGTTTCAGTCTGGTGACCTTGGCGCATTCACAGGCTTAGATTTTGGCTTGTATATGTAGGCTGCTACAGCATTAGAGCACTTGGTCTAATGGCCTTCTTGTTTAATTCATTTAACACCATAAAGTGCCATAGGTATTCCATGGGAAATGCCATGGGAAAACCTCAGTTAACACGCACATAGGACTCCTTTCCAGGTGGGCACATATTTACGGTGCATACCTACCCTCCTTAATAGTCTGCAGCTGTTGGCGGGGTGTTGGCAATAGAGGTATATAGTCTTGTTCTACAATATTCTTGAGCTCTAAGAGTACCCATAGTCACTAAAAAGCCCAGGGAGCTCTTTGGCAAGACTTTGGCAGAGAAAAAGGGAAGCACTAGCAAAAATTAGCATGTTAGAAAAAGAGAAGAGAAGGGTTAGAATGAGAGAGAGAATGGGAGAAAAAACCATGGGTACTGTGAATGGGAATGGGAAACCTTGGTTGCAAGAGGGTGGCTGAGAGGGGCGTGACCTATCGCCCATCCCTTGGGTATTCAGGTATTTCAATAGGCGAGCAAGCCTCCTGGCTGCTGCTTGTCACCTCCAAAGGCAGGTTGCTTGAGGTCGTTGTTCTTAGGTGAGTAATTGTGCCTCCGGAAGTCCCTTCCCATCAACAGTGCGTCAAGCCTTCTCCCTCTGAAGAAGGGATGAGCAGAAGGCCACCTTCTCGTGGCCCCACTGACGTAGGGAATGTCCAAACCTGAAAAGAATTTTTATGAGTTTTTCTGAGCCACACTGACGACAACTGCCAGGAAGCAAAATCTCAACAGACGGAGAACATGCTCCAGAGAACGGCAGCTTTGCAGCTTATTTTGTACATTAGAATCAAAGGAGGAAACAAAAGGAGAGTCACGTGAACTCCATTGGTGGTGGAATATAGGGCAGGAAAAAGCAAAGGGTAGAAACCTCTGGGACTGGATACAAGGCAAAATGGGGAGGCATGTTTTTTTCATTGGTGGGTGTGGAGTAGGTAACGACGATGAGCGTGTACCACACACCAAGATGGCACGTGGGGAACAAGGGGAGGGTGAGGGGCTTTGTGGTCACGTGCTCTGGTGCAGGCGGTTGTGCCTTGGAGGCACAGGCAAAGGAGATCACTCTGACATTTCAAAGGTATCTTATCCTAGCGGCATCAGAACAGTGGGGGGCAGAGACTGGCCTTTGTTAAGGAGGCTGCAGGCTTGGGAAGTGACGGCCCACCAGGACCTGCCCCGTTAGGACTTTGCGATCAGACCGTCCTGTGAGGCTACTTTCCGCCAGTGGGCTTGTCAGGTCTGCCACGAGCTACCCCCTCCCACCCTGGCGTGTCAGGCTCACGGCAGAGCCCGTTTTCCATTCCCCGCACCTAGCAGCCCCCTGGGACCAAGCCCAGGTGTGCGAAGCACCCAGGCCCTGTGCCTGGGGCCAAGCCGCAGTGCTGAGCACCGCCAAGGCCCCCGCAGGGCAGGGAGCTGAAAGGCTTACCAAGGTCCCGTCCCTGGGCTCAGCTGCAGCAGCCAGCTCTCAAGAACTTTTCAGCAGAGTGGAAAGAGCCACCTCCAAAAACAGGAGTGAGACCCAGAGCCGCTGTCAGGTTGAACTCGGGGTGGATTCTCCCGGAGCCCATCTGCTGGCTGCCCTGGAGACGTGGGGTTGATACTGACTGAGGAGACTGTGAGCACCTCCCCGAAGAGCTCAGGTCGGGGCGGGGCTTTGCAGGAGAAAGCCCCTCTTCCCCCCTCGCTTTCCAGTGCCTACTTACCATCTGCAGGTGGGCTTAGTGCTTTCTGAATGACTAGCGCCTGGCTTCTCGCCTGTGGGCCCTGCCACGCGCATTCCTCCAGAAACAAACGAGCTCTTCTCAGACCCTCCTGGGCTCCTGGTCGGTGGTTTTTGGTTTTTTTCTCTTTAAGATCACAATACATTCACAAGGCTCACAAGTCCAGCTGTAGAAACGATACGAAATGAATACAGTGAACGGTTATGCCAGCACTTTCCCTATCTACCCTGATTTCTCTCTGCCATGAAGTCATCATTTGATTAGTTTCTTATTGATTTACCAGCGTTTCTTTATGCAGGTACAAGCAAATATATTCTGTATATATTTGCAGAAAAAGAATACCCTGCATTCTCTTTATCTCCTTTTTCATATAAAAGAATGACTGCTTTATGCACTGTGATTTTTTACCCCCTCTGAGCATCTTGTATCAGCTCATGGAGGTTCCTCACTGTTTTGTTCAGCCGTCCCGCGTTCTGCTGTTCGGATGTATAGTTTGTTTACACATCCTGCTTCGTTGCTCTCTGATGGGTGAAACCTGGTTTCCGTTCCCCAGCCTCCGTGGACCACCTGCACCTGCCGCCCACCCCTCCCAGCAGCCACAGCAGTGACTCAGAGGGCAGCCTGAGCCCCAACCCGCGCCTGCACCCCTCCGGCCTGCCTCAGACCCACAGCCCTGCCAGGGCCGTGCCGCGGGCCCCCTCCACGCTCTCCAGCTCCCCGCTTCTCACCGCGCCTCACGTGAGTCTTGGCTGGCTTCTCTGGACGGGAACCCATTTCATTGTCACCTGGACCGTCACCCAGAGTGGCTGCCATTCAAGGCCACTTGATTATTCTTGTAAGAAAGTTTTAGGTTAAAAGCAGGGTGACGACCTTAAAGAGCATTTTTCGGAATGGCTTGTCATCTCACCTAGTGACACACTTCTTTCTCTGTGCACACCTCCAGTTTTATTCCTGTATTTTTTTAACGTAGCAATAGGACAAGGAACAAAAATGTCGTCTTCCCCCTCCGAATGATATCACACATATTTACCATCAATGTACGTGGTCCTTACAATAGGACATAACTTCACTTTTAAAGAAGGAATCTTTGGTGAGCTTAAAAATCTCTTAGGGATTAAACACTTCGATGTCTAAAGCTCAAACATGTAGTTTAGCCTTTTTTTTCCCCCGTATGATAGGACTTTTAACCCAGCGACGGGTCAGAAGTCATGAGCCGTCGTTCACCCTTACAATATATAAGGGCGTTCTCCAAATAAAAATAGGCTAGATCGCTAACTTCTTATACTGAGGAATTCAGTGATTCTACTAAATCTTAACAGTGATAATCAATTTATTGAATTTGTGTCATATAGAGAAATTTGAGTTAAATCAGGTATTTACAAGTTCTCTGAGAATTATCCATCAACATAACTTTGAATATTTGGACGTTCATGACCAAGGGCAAAGGAATTAACTCTTCCCATTCTCTCTTTACCTGCTCGACTCTAACTGGACCCCTTCGATGACAAGGACAGTGTTCATCCTCTGTCCCTGTGTGTCCTCCCACAGGTTGTCCATTCGTTCATGGAGAAAATTCCCCTGATGTCGCAGCCAGTCACCTGCTGGGGTCAGGCTCTAGTAACTCTACTCTCTACTGGCCTCGACCCTCTGCCTCTTCAACAGGTGCTTACTGCTCTAGGCAGGGAAGCACCTGCCCCTAGTGGCACACCTCTCTCTGTGCACACCTCCAGGTTTGCTCCTCTGGTCATTTTACTTGAAATGCCTCCCCCTCTTGTGTAAATCACCCCCTTTCCTTCGGGAGGCCCCATTCCTGCCCTGAGCCTTCCCTTATGATGCGAACTCAGGTAGGTGTTATTCCCCCAAATTTCTAACACACCTTGAGTTAATAGTCCAGTTTAGTAGTTCATTGTTCTCATCCTTTCCCGGCTATCAATTCAGGCTCAGTCTTGATCGGAAGCTGCTGGAGAGATGGAGTTTGTTCTAAGTCCTCCATGGCATGTAACGTGGAGCAAACACTATAGACACTCAGTTTGTTTGACTAATTATCAATACATTCTTGTATTATGGGTTCAGTGGGATGAGCAACCGTTCTCATCTTCACCGATGATGGACAGTCTGGGGCTGCACGGAAGCCAGAAACTTCCATGGAAATTGCCTGCTGGTCTAGCCCCGGGAGCCCTGGCCCCTTAGCAGTGAGTGGAGGACAAGAAGCAGCCCCTGGTGTGTGGAGAGCATGTTACACAACTGCGTTTTCAGGGGGCAGCAAAACTCTGTCCCACATGGAAGCTCCATCTTCATCACGCCAAGGCCAGGAAGTCTCCCGGGATGTGAACAATGAATTCTCTCCTTTTTTATTTTTAAAAGATTTTATTAATTAATTTATTTATTTTTAAAGAAGGGAAGGGGGGTAAAGAGGGAGAGAAACATCAATGTGTGGTTGCCTCTTGTGCACCCCCTACAGGAGACCTGGCCCGCAACCCGGGCGTGTGCCCTTGACTAAGGATTGAACTGGCGACCCTTTGGTTTGTAGGCTGGAGCTCAATCCACTGAGCCACTCCAGCCAGGGCCGAATTTTGTCCTTTACTTTTGATGTCGCTAGTGAGGCACCTTCTGGGAAATAACGGGGGAGGTTTCTTTACATTTCCCTTGAATTATGATCAGTTGTTTATAAGACTCACATGAGAGTGTCTTCTCCGTTTCTGCTTCGACTAAGTGCCCATTTCTCACCAAGAGTGGACGGGGCCGCCTTTTCTGCCGGCCGTTGTATGGGACGCTGTAACAGAGCCTTCTCCGCCTCGAGAAGGTGTGGACTCCGCGTGCCCGGCTGCCTTTCTCTGACCCGCTGCTGCTCCTTGGTTTGCACAGAAACTGCAGGGCTCTGGCCCGCTGGTGCTCACAGAGGAGGAGAAGAGGACCCTGATCGCCGAGGGCTATCCCATCCCCACCAAATTGCCCCTAACGAAGTCAGAGGAGAAGGCGCTGAAGAAAATCCGGAGGAAAATCAAGAATAAGGTGAGCCCTTTAAAGCCAGGTACTTGTGTGAGCACGACCATGAGCAGAAGCGAGCCCGCGCGTGGCCTCCCGTGCTTCCCGCCGGCCCGCGCTGGCCCGTCCCATGGTGGGACCGAGCCGCAGCCCTGCCCCTGCCCTGGGCCGGGCGCGGGGGCACGGTCACCTTGGCCCCGTCCTCCTCCAGCCGCTGCATCCAGCCGCTGCATCCAGCTGCTGGGCCGGCGGACGCCCCGCGAGGGGATGCGCGTTCTTGGTGCCCAAGATGATTCATCCAGGGGTGGGAGGAAAATGTTAGAACTTTCGCTGCTATCATTTGAAAAAAAAACACCACCACCTCAGTCTTTGAAATTTCTGTTTTACGATGTACACGCGATCTCCCTTTAGTGGGGCCTGTCTTAATTCATGTTTACTTAAATATTTTTTAAATTACAGTGTACATTCCACATTACTTTGTTTTAGTTTCCGGTGTACAGCATAGCGGTTAGACAATCGTAGACTTTACAAAGTGACCCCCCCCGCCCCCGGTTTTTGCAGTCCCCACCTGGCACCACGCACAGTTACCACAATATTACTGACTATGTTTTACGTCCCCAGGACTATGTTGTGACTGCCAGTCTGCACATCTTAATTCCTTCACCTTTTTCACCCAGTTCTGCCTGTAATTTATACGTAAATAAATAGAAATACTCATGGGTGCTTGCTTCATCTCTCTCTCTCTGTCTCTCTCTTTTTTTTGGTTGGGGTTTTTTATAAAACATTCCCACGTTGTTTTGCGTTATACCAGTGGGCAGCGGCCACAGAAGTGAGCAGAGCCTCCGTGACGTCAGCGCCGGGGGCTCCTGTCCATCGTGGACCCCGGACTGGCTTTCCAGTGTCCCTGAGACTTAACCCTGTTTTCTCTCTTCATATCTCAGATTTCTGCCCAGGAAAGTAGGAGAAAGAAGAAAGAGTACATGGACAGTTTGGAGAAAAAGTAAGCCTCTTGCCAAACGGGTTGCACGTATTGGGCAATGCACACAGAGAAGGGGGGGCGCCCACAGCTCCCGCTTTCCAGAGGCAGGGAAGTCCCGCTGTTGCCGGGAGAGCCCGTTGGTTTATCAGCCGTGCCTCGCCTGCCACCTAGTGGTTGTTAGAGGGGAAGCTTCTGTAATGGCAAGGAGTAAAAGGACACGCTTTTTGATTAAAACTTAATTTATTGGGGGGACCCTGGTTCATGAGACTATGTAATTTTCAAGTGTACAATTCTATGATACGTCATCTGTAGGTTGTATTGTGGGCCCACCACGCAAAGTCAAATCTTCCGTTACTTTACATTTGACCCCTTTACCCACAACGGTTCCCCCTGCCCCTTTCTCTCTGGTATCTACCATACTGTTGTCTGTGCCTGTGAGTTTTGGTTGGTTGGTTTGTCTTGTGTGTTCACGTATTGCTTTTAGTTTGATATCCTACCTCTGAGGGAACACGTACGGTTCACTTTTCCTGTCTGACTTACTTCGCTTAGCATACTATTGCCAGCCAGGCACGCAATCCTAGTAGGCATTTGGACCACATCCGATTGCAGCCACAGATCTTGGGTCCTTGAAGGCTGCCTTTCAAATGCGTGCATTCACGCCCCCTGGACCTCCGCAGAGGAGAGGCGTCCCCTCCACCCCAAGGAGCGAAGGAGGGAAGGAGCGAAGGAGCGGAGCCCATCGATCAGTTTTCCTCGGCCACGCCCCTCGCCCACTAGAGGCGGCGGACAGGCAGTGAAATGTCACGTCGGACCTGTTATTTTCTGCCCACTCTAATTCATGCTTCGGGCGAGAGACCTTCCACAAAAACACCGGAAGGCACCTTTTGCTCTTCTGAAAAGCTTGGAATTATCAGAAGGGCAGTGAGAAGAATATGAATTAAATACAATTTTGCACTGGCCCTCGAAAATAGTTCTCAAGCTGACAAAGTAAGACCATTATTTTTAGATGGGAATGACGCCCCGGATCCAGAAATGGATCTTCATGTGTACCTGGAGGAAGCAGGGGTTCGCGCATCCCGGCTGGTTCTTGAAGTTCCTATTGGAAGTTAGGGTTGTTTTTTTTTAAGTAGTCCCATCCTGTCCCGTCATTTTTTGTAGGTATCTAGGGTCAGGAGGTCTCTGTGAAAGTCTCTCTCTTGCCTGTTTGGGGCACGAGTCCTTCTCCTCCCGCCTCGCCCTGCCGTAGGCCCCTTGGCTTCCTGTGGCTCCTTCCGGGAGAACAGCTGGCCGCACCCAGCCCATAGCGCACAGGGCGACGTGTGATGGACATCGCAGGGTCCAGGGGGAGAAAACAAGGCTGGAACACCCTCAGAGAAGGTCACGGTCTGCATCTTCCTGTTCCTTTTCTATTATTGGGGTACTTATTACCCAGCTTTTTCTGTATTTTTCTCCTTCTGTCTCTTCCCCCTTCTTCCCAGCTCAGGTTGGCCAGACCCTTCCCTTCCCTCACCTTCCTGGAGTACCTGGTTCCCCGTCTTCTTTCTCTGACCCCCAGTTTCCTCCCCCCGAGCTCCCGGTGCAGCATTGCTCTACGGATAGAACGAATTTGCCTCTTTTTCTCCCCTGTGTAGGGTGGAGTCTTGTTCAACGGAGAACTTGGAGCTTCGGAAGAAGGTGGAGGTCCTGGAGAACACCAATAGGTGAGGGTCGCCGCACTCGCGGGCTGGTGGGACTGCCTAAAGGGAAGCGGGGAGAGAAGGGGACAGACAGATCTGGGCCCAGGGCTGGAAGGAAAGTGGAGGGGGTCGCACTGAAAGTGTAGTCGTGCCAGGATGCGCAGGACGGCTGTACTCCTCCACACAGAGATGCACACATAATACACACACACACACACACACACACACACGTGTTCTTTACTTTTCCTAAAACACGTGGGAGCGATGAAGACGCTGATTCTGACAAGGGCTGTGACTGGAAGGGGGTTAAGGAGAGGCCTGGCGGAGAATAAAGTCAATAAGCTCGGTTCTCTGGAAAAGGACACCAGACTTTTGAGGTGGACAAGGAGGCTCTGGCCATGTCATTGTCACCCCATTTAAGTAAGAAATGGTCTTTATGAGTGGGGGGGAAAGGGAAAATAAAGTTTGTTTTTTAATGAATGTTTTAAAAAATTAATTATCTAATTGATTACAGCTCAAGCCCATTTTGAAAGAGAACTAACGGGCAGAACAGGTTAATGCCTCCCTCCAGGGCTCCCTGTGCCGGCGCTCTTTCCAGCACTTTACAGATAGTCACGCATTTGCCCTTCCAGGAGCCCCATGGGGCAGGCCTGTTGCCATCCCCTCATACAGAGGAGGCGACTGGGACTCTGAAGGGCTGGCCTGTGGTCACACAGCACTGCTGGAACTGCATTTGAACGCGGACGGTCTGACTCTGGAGCCGCCGCATAGGGGGCCACAGGGAGCTCCATTCCTGGGGCGTCAGTGGAGAAAGGGGGTGAAGGCCGAGGGTTCAGCAGTGGGCATTTGGGGAGTTTCAGACAGAACGCGTGTGTTTGTGTGCTGTGCATGGGGCATACCCGCGCTTTGAGAGTAAGGGGGTTCGTGAGGGGATCCTCTGGCCCTGAGCTGTTACAGATCCGACAATTCAAGCAGAGAAAAATGGACTTCTAGGCAGCAAAGTGTTCATCATTTCAAGGCTTAGCATTAACGCTTTCTAACAATGTTGGCAATGCTAAAGGATCAGGTGAAATTCGCTTGCTTGTCATTTGATAATAACATCGAATCTTCATGGTTTGTTGCTCCAACGGGGGGCTGATTCATTGCAAGTTAAAGTTCCCATTGGAGGGGGCGCATACGGGACATTGTGAACCCACTGAAGTTCCCCCTGCACTTCTGGGAGCACGCGCTCACAGAAGGAGGTGGGGGCCGTTGCCTCAATGCTGTGTAGACAGACGGCAGAAGTAATTAACCATCCCCGATCCCCTGAGACAAAGGAGACGTTTCCAGTACCACTTTAGGATGCTGGTTTCATAGTCTCCTTTGGCCACCAGTCTCCTGAGGCTTCATCCTTTCTTTTCTCCACCTTCACTCCCTCCAGAGAGGTTCTCTGGGTCCTGACCTCCTACCAGGCTCTGCATCCATCTCTTTAGCATCAGGAGCGGATAGGAGTTCCCAGCTGGTCCTAGCACTTTTTTCCCCACAAAAGCCTGGTGTTAACAAGTGAGACAAGTCCGGGCCGTGAACTTGTGTTAGGAGAACGGGGACTCTGTTCAAGATAACCTTGGAGTTTGGTCCAGGGTGGGTCTTGTCTTGGGGTTCTGGGTGTCATGTCTTCCCCAAGCCACACGGGGGCAGCAGAGGCTTAGCACAGGCTGTGCCGGTAGCAGTGAGTGCTGGTGGCAAAGGGTCTCCTTCTCCAGGCTGACCTTAAAAAGACTTACACACACAGAGTCATTGTAGGAAAAAATGAGAAAATGTAGTTATTTTTTAAATTGCAGTCTTTTTGCTCAGATATGCATTTAAATTTTTAAACATTTTATAAATTTAGAGTATTTTATACCTGTATATACTTCTATTGCACACAGTCTTGTGTTTAGAAAATTTTCCATTTAGCAAAGCACGCCGGCCATATTTTTATATCAATAAATGTATTTCTACAGAATCCTTATTTCTCTCAGATTTCATAAAGAGCTGTCATCCGAGGACTGCGGACACATCTGGTTCCATGGAACAGCAACCCATGTTTGGCCAGTTGTTTTTATCTTCGTAAATACCGGCCACAGCTATTTTACCGTGACATTAATTATGACACAATATGAGGCATGGGGACAGATGGCATGTTGAGCTTGGGGCCGGCGTATCTCATGATCTTCTCTGAGAGTCCTCTTCTCTGTGCGGACACTGTCCCGGTCATTTAGCCTCCTGGGGCCTCCGCTGGGGAAAACCCACCTCATGGCATTGGCCCCGCTGGGTTCCGTGACCGTCAGGGTATCCACTCTGGTTCCCCCCGAGCCCTGTGCTACCCTCGCATTTCTTCTTCCAGAGGGACCTCACCTGAGAGACAAACCTTTTAGGGTGGTAATGGCTGACAATTGATTAATGCGTAATCTTCCTTATTAGGGAGCTCTGAGGACTATAATTTCTAGGTCCAGCAGCTTTCAATGTGTGTTGGCTCAAGAGGTCAAGCAATAAAAGCAGAGCCTCTCATGACGCCCACAGGGACGGTGGGCCTGCCTCCCCGTGGACTTCTTCCCCTTCTCCTTCTGCCCCGCCAAAGGCGCCCTTGCGCGGACGGCACTAGGCCGGCCCGCGTGGCTGGAACGCAGACTGTGGCAGTCTCCTGCCCTCAACCAGTCACGGGGAGTTGGCATTTTGGGCGCGTGGGAAGGGGGGTCTTTTGGACCCTTTCCTCATGCCCCATTGTGTAAGTGACCCCGTGTTTGAACCAAGGACAGGGCGGGGCCTAAGGAACGCACACCTGTGTTTGTGTTCTGTTTATGCTTCTCATGCCATTGTCCTCTGGCGGTAGCCGGACAGAGGTAGAAGTGACAGCTCTGAGGAGTGACCTCTGGAACCGGGGTTGCCAGAAGTGGGGTGGAACCCTACGCATGCCAGTGTCTCAGATGGCACGACGTGGCGCAAAAGACGAGTAGGTATTTCATCACTGGCCAAACTTGGCAAAAAATTCCACCTCTCACGCCTTGCTGTTCCTGGCTGCACTGCGCAAGGGGCTTTTCCATCCAGATGAAATGAGCACTCAGATTAGAGTCGGTTCTCAGTCTTTCGGGGACTGGACTCAGCAGCAGCCATGGAGCATACTCGGGTTCTAGGAGAAAAGACCCTTTTTGCTGAGCCCAGAAAACGGGCAGAGGATGCAGACAGGAGAGGTAAGAAGAAATCCTCTAACCCTTCGGCAGCCTCACCCGGGAGCCTCTCAGAGCACAGCTGAGACAGCGTGAAAGCACCTTCGGGCTCCCCTGGCTAAGGCGATCCGCTAATTGCATGCCCTCAGGAAACGTGTGAGATGAGACGCAGAGTTTCCCAGGGGGCCCTCCTTCCTGTGCTCAACCAGGAACACATTCTCACTTACAAAGCATAGGTGAGACCCACGCCCGGAGGCTGCAGGATCCCTCTGGCCTCCCCAGCCTTCACAGCCCCTCTCTGGGCTGCAGGCTCTCTGGCCCTACCCTGGTTTCACTCCTGAGAAATCCTGTCTTTCCCCCTTTATATTCTTTTCTTCTCCGCAAGAGATACGCACACATACTGCCTAGCCCAGCAGTTTTCAGTATCTGTGGCTCAGCTCGCTCAGTTCATTTTTTATTTTACTCTGAGTCCCCCTCCTTGAGCCCTGATTTGTAGAATCACAGGGGCTTCACTTTGAGGTATGTTTTAGAGATCATCTTATTTAACTTCTGATCACTTCGCTTCACAGAAGAGGAAACTGGGGCCCAATAAGGTTAAGGTCACCCAACCATTTAGAGACAGAATGGGGACTAGAACTCAGCCACTTAGTTTTTAAATGGGTCCTTACCTTGGTGTCTCATCTGCTGTGCCGCTCCGTCCTTTGAGGACACCGCCTTTCTGAAGCCCAGGGCCACGTTCAGCCTTGCTTTCGACCCCGTGTTTGTGAGGACCCTGCTGTGGCTCTCCTCTCGCCACGCCCCTGTGCGCGGGATGGGGGGTCAGCAGGACCAGGGGGTGTGTCTGTCCAGGGCTCTCACGGCGCCCCTCCACACCACACCCTGGTACCTGGGATCCTGGAATTCACTGCCCAAACGGTCTTAGTCCATTTCCCGGGCCCATGTGGATCTCTACCTGAATGAAGTCTGTTCTCTGAAGGGTTGACCAGGACACCAGAGGGCCACCGGTTACACAAGTGGGTGGCTCAGTACAGCTCGTTGTGACGGCTGAGTGAGGAGTTTGAGCCTGGGCAGGCGTGTGCCTGAAATCTGTCACTGTGTATGGGACCTGGGGCCCCATTTGCTCTCTAGCTTTTAGACGCCCTCCTCCGAACCCTCAGATCTTCTTAGGCACTAACTCTGGGAGACTGGGGTGGGATGGGGGTGGGGTAAGGTGGGGTCTGGCAGGATTTTGCTTCAGGAAGACATGGGTGCTTAGCTCTGCCCTCCTGAAACCACCTGAGAGCCAGGTATATAATTTTTTTGCATGTCTGCACTAGATAAGTGGCGCTTCGACTTTTTTTATTGTAATCATTTTCACATTTTGTGTAGTGACTCGGACACGCCACATGTACACGTACATCATGCACGTGACTAGTATGAATGCTTCACAAATGAATAGTTATTTACAGTGTGTGATGCTCTCAAATATTTTGTGTTCTATTTGATTCTGTTTTATTTAACAAAAGACACCAGTCACAACCCAGTAGGTTTTACAATCCACTAATGGTTTGTGACTTGGAATTTGGAAAATACTACTCTCGATAGTTCCATAAGGGTGTCAATAAAGTTCCTTCATCTCTGTAGGAGGCTGATTTTCCCAGAGAGTGGTTTATATGCACACACACACGTGCACACACACGCCATAGCGCCGCTAGTTCCAGTTCTGAGTAAGGCGTGTTACAAGACTGAACAGAAAGTAAGTCTATAAAGAGGGCCTGGTTGGAAACTTCTGGCACAGCAAGTAATTGGGAACCACCAGTTTATTCTTCTTCCTGTTTTCTGACTCCAGTGGGAAATTAG